CTATTACTATTACTATTACTATTACTATTACTATTACTATTACTATTACTATTACTATTATTATTATTATTATTATTATTATTATTATTATTCCACCAATCATTTTGTGTCCAGAATGAGCTGAAAGTGTTCCTCTCAGAGTCACAGTGCTGTTTTAAAGCCAGAACTCTGCTGGGAGCCGGTCCTACTGGGCTTTTCCTGCTCTGACACATTTACTGTGCCGGCGCTGAAGATGCTGCAGCTTCTCATTCAATATTTCCACCTTTAAGCTCCAACATTAAGCAGTGTGAGAATCAAAAGTTCGTACAGCGGAGATCGGTCCGACCCCAGAGGAGGCTGGATCTGTGGGTTTCTACATACCGAAGGAAACGATTGAGGTCTCCATGCCTCATGTACTCGAACACCATGGCCAGAGGCTCTCCGTCTGTGCAGACGCCGTAGAAACGCACAATGTGTTGGTGCTGCAGCACCGTCAGCAGCTCGGCCTCCCTCTGGAAGTCCTGCCGGGTCGACTCGTTTGCATCCTTCAGAGTCTGCAAACAAAAGAGGGATGCAACTGATAAACACCTCGTTTTAGACTTTTCTCATCAATTGAAAAATAATGTTAGGAAATTTATTTTTAGACCGCATCAATTACTGATTTTCCAAGTTTTAGACTAAGATGATGTGGAAAAATTAAAAAGTTTTAAGCCTTTTTTTGTCAAATCTTTAGAATAACCCTTACCAAAACAAAGCATACCTCAAGTACATGTCCTTAAGTACTTGTATACTTAAGTATATTGAAGTCTATTTTTCCCAAGTGTATTTTATTTACCATGTACACTTTTAATGCATTTTTAGGATAAGCCAAGTGGGTAACACAAACTTTATGTATATCTAATCTCTGTAGTACATAAATAGTAAACTGATAGTCTACTGTAAACCTGTAAAAGTCTCTACCGCAGAGGTTCTCAATCTGAGGTTCCAGGACCCCCAGGGGTCCGCAAGAGGTATCTTGAGGTCCTCAAAAACTTTCACTAAATTGTTTAAGTGGTTTTTATTTTTAAAAATTGCATGGAGAACAATTAACTGGTAAAACAAACATAATAAAAAATATTCTCATGGCATTTAGGGGTTGAAATGACAATAAATCATCTTTTAAAACAGCCTGGGGTTTCTGAGGGGGTCCCTGGATTTTTTTTTTTTTTTTTTTTTTTGCCCCTGTAAGGGGTCCCCAGACCCAAATGTCTTGAGAACCCCTACTCTACTGTATTCATGGGACAATCTCTGTTTCACTGTTGGTTGACATATTCAATCTCATGTCAGCCTTGCCCCTTTTTATTCCCACCTGTTGTTGTGCTCTGTCTCCTGTCTGCTCTGAGCCAGAATTTATTTTCTCTGCCTATCTAATGTTTTATTGCTGTCTTTACATTCTTAATACTACTGATGATTGTACAGCATCTTATGAATTTATTTCTATGAAAGGCACTTTAAAAATAAAACTTTACTTACCTCTCCTATTTTTTTGTTTAAAATTATTATACTTAAAGAACACTTGCATATACTCCTTTTTTGGGGAACTTTATGCTCAATGGTGCAAATTATAGCTCAATGGAAAACAGACTAAATTACAATATTTTTTAATCAGGCCCACTTTCAAAGTTAACAAGCTTTAAATGTAGGGACAACTCTCAGCTACTACCACTCCTGATTTTAGCTCCGTATCTGTAAAAGTGACAGCTGATTTGCTGTGGCGGCCATCTTGAATCAGGCTGACTCTTTCACAAGTTGTAGATGAAAAATCCAATAACTTATTGAGAATCTCAATATTTTCCATCTTATCTGAAATTATTTCAAAACTAAATGTCAAGAAACAAACATTAAAGCGACAGATTTCCATTTTTCCTTGTTTTTTTTGTTTTGTTTCCACAGGCCTCAGAAGTTCTCGCTCCGCGCAGCTCAGATGAGTGACGATGTGTTATGAAAGCATGTTTGTGTGATTAATGGGATGAGACATGAAAGCAAGGCCATGTGTTTTATTTATTTTTTTATTTTTTTCTGTGTGCTTTGCATTAACCTGATGTAACATGAGCTGCGTATTAAATCAGCTGACAGGCCTTTAACAAAGACGGCTCACTCTAAAACCACACAGTGGATTAAACTGAGTGCACGACAAAACTTGTGTGTTTTTTTTAACTTATCGGAACAGATGAGTGGGAGACGTATCACTAATGGACAAGTTTAGGTCTTGTACTTAAATTCAGTGACCTGACAGTTTTACTTATTATTTGGTAGGATTTTGCTATTATTATTATTA